TTTTTTGCATACAACTTTGGGAATCTTGATTCTATTACGCTTTTAAAACTGTTACTGTGCAACTACTGAAGCCAAACAGAATGAGGCTTGGAAAATGGGAGGTCCCTCCTCTATCAAAGGAGCAGTTATAATACGCAGCAATTGATGCTTATGTTTCATGGCATCTTTACCAGGTAAACATCAAAGAAAACCCAACGACCTTTAAGCAAAATTCTCACATCCTTCGAATTATACTATTGTTACTTGCGAAAACCTGGAGCTTGTCTTTGGTGAGTAAGAAACTAATGGAGAGCATTGTTACATCTATCTACCTAGGTTCTAATGGACCTTCCTGATGCCACCCATTGCCATAACGGGAAGGAAGAAGCCTAAAGGCCAGCCTATAGTAACCCGAAGAGTTAGTAGTATTAGTAATGGTATTAAATTCTTATGCGATTTGCAAATGATATTTGAATATTTTATCTACATGCACTCCATTTAACCGGCACTCATTCTCGGCTTAAATATCTCCGTGGTATATGGTTGTATAAGAATTTAATTAACACTTATGGTATCGGGTCATGGTACGCCATCAAATAACTAATGGGTAAGCTCTACGTAGATCTCGTTGATTCAAACTTTGAATACCGATGTAAAGACTTGAGAAAACTCTTCTCAAGACTCTTTCCATTGATAAAGAACTAAAAACACAAAGCACAAGATGTTTGATAAATAGAGGAAACTTTTTTAAGTTGCACAGTACGAGACTCGAATCAAAGCAAACCAGGAAAAGAGACCTTGAAAAGGAAGAGTTGGATCACAACTCACAACAACGAAACCAGACATGAAACAAAAACTGACACTGCAAACACATGAAAACATTGCTAGAATATTTTCGACATTTGGATAGAAATGCGTTCCACTTTGTTTTTTTTTTGTCATCATCGTCATTCGTCAGCACTATTAGTATTGCCACGATTAGCGAATCTCACTTTCACTTTACTACCATCCAGCTCCTAGAAATTCAAATCCATAGAAATAATAAGCTTGACCATATATATAGACATAGAACAATAAAAAAATTGGCTTGTATACATCAAATCTTGTATACACTAATAAATTGAGACATCTCTCTGTAATTATTTTTTTTTGTTTTGGTAAAAAATATTAAGGTTGTAAAGATGACACAAGTCGGCGTCGCAGAAGGAAGAAGATGACAAAACCCTAGGGTTTCAATTGATTTTGTAAAGATTCTAG